ATTTCTATCATATTCTTTCTTTCTTCTATATAAAGACGTTCTGCGTGTGCGTGTGCGTGTAAGACGGTAGGATGTTAATTACGATATGGAAAATGCAGCTTTTGACAGGTGGTTATTTTTAAATTTCCCCTCCCCACTGCCTTGGAATCGAGAGTGATAATTTTTTGCTGCCATTTTTCGAAAGTTTTATGTTATACATATATATTATAATTATTATTATTTTCCAATTTTTGGGGGGAGGGGGAAAGAAATTTCTATTTCGCCTTTTTAAAAAAATTACTACTACTACTACTATTTATTTTGTTACCTCTTTCTTTTCTCTTTACCCCCCTTTCTCCTCTCTAGGGGAAGACAACTTCCTTTCCAGATTGTCAGCTGGAGTAAAGTAAAAATCGTAATTTTCGATCTGGATAAAAAAAAAAGAAAATAATAATAATAATAATTATTATTATTTTTTGGAAAAGGGACGACGTTGATAATTAACTACTATTACTCTTTCCGTCCAAATTTTTTTTTTTGTTTTTGTTTTTCTATGTTATGTTATCGATTTTTTTTGTTTTACGATACGATAATAATAATAATAATAATAATAATATCAAATTAAGAAATTTTTTTTTTGTTTGTGGAATTTTCTAGAAGGTAGTAAGTAAAAAAAAAAAAAGGAAACTAATCGTAAAATCTTTTTTTCATTTTTTTTGAAATAAAATTAAAAAAAAAAACAAATTGTCGGTAGTTGTTGTTGATTTTTTTTTCCATTTAATTTTTATTTTATGTTTAATTGACGTGGAAATAATTTTTTACGTTTGTCTTACTATTTTTTATTCGTTTTAAAACGTCGTCATCGTGGAAGAAGAAAAAAATGGCATATATAATTTACATTCACGTCGTGATTATTTCAAATGAGAAAAAAAAAAGGAGGAGGAGGAAGAAGAAGAAAATTTAACGAACAACCACAAAATTATTTTTATGTGCTTTAATAATAACCGTGGAAGAAGAATTCTACGTAATAAGAAAATAAAATAGAAATTTTTTTCTTTTTTCTAGCGGCGTAATAAAGAATCGAAAATGATTTTTAGTTTGTTGTGAAAATGTGAGAGAGAAAATTTTTTTTTTTTTTTGATTTAAAAATTATTTAATGGCGATTTAAAAAAAAAAAAATGGAGTCGTTTTTTGTTAAACAAAAGCCTTAATTTTGTTTTTTTTTTCATGATAAAATGGTGGTTCGATCGATGGTTTTAAAT